TGCTGTAACAAACCACCACAGACGTCATGGCTTAGAGCAACACAGGTTTTTATCTTACAGTTCTCAGAAGTCCAGAAAGGGCCGTCAGGCTGTGCTGCTTCTGGAGGCTCCAGGGGCATCGTTTCCTTGCCTTTTCCAGCATCTGCGGGCTGCTGTGTCCCTTGGCTTATGACCCCATGTCCTTCTTGCTCATCTTTCCAGGCTCATTGCTCCTTCTCTGCCTCTTTCCACCTACAAAGGCCCTTGTGGTTCTGTTTAGGGTGCACCCAAATAACCCAGGAAAGTCTCACAGTCTCGAGATCCTCGACTTAATCACATCCACAGAGTCCCTTTTTCCATGTCAGGTGACATATTCACAGGCTCGGGGATAAGGATGTGGACATCTTTGGAGGCCAGGATTCTGCTTCTCAGATGTAGCCTCTGGAAAATGTATATTCATGAGAGAATAAGAGGGAAAAGGGCAAATAATTTATGATGATTATTAAAAGTAGCATAGTATCATGAAAATAGGTTTGGCCTTGCGGACCTATTGAGAGGGTCCTGGGGCCACACTTGAAGAACCGCTGGTTTGATGGGAGGGTCAGGTCACAGTGTTGCTCTGAGCTCAGTCTGTCCTGGTGGGGCCTCCCTCTCTTGTCCTCTGCCACACATGGAGGAGCCATCATTTGCTGAACTGTTTCCAGTGAGTGGATCTCTAATGAATCAGGGCCACAGTCAACACCTGAGTACCTGCCTGCATCTCTGAGTAAATAGGTGAGCTTGTCCAGGACACGTGGCTACCTAGACATGGATTGAATGAACATCTGTAATGTTCAGGGAGTAAGAACAAGGGAAAGTATGTGTTCAGTTCAGATGCACTTTTTCCCTGAATATTTTCAGTGTGCAGCTGTTCTGCTCCAGGGATGTGGAACCCACTGGGACAGCGTGCCTGCTGTGCTTGTGCTGTGATTGTTCTGTATGGTGTGCTAGCTGTGCTTGTTTTGTGCAGTGGTCTTCTTCCCTAGGGACTCCTGTTTTCTGTGTGTTGTGCCTCCTCTAACTGAGTTCAGAGCTTGTCACTCTCTCAAACCCTTTTTGTCTCTTCATTTGTCTTTGATTTATAAAAGGTTCCCCATCACCTTTTTCTCTTAAGGCACTGTTTGTGGCATGTGTCTGGTTTTTTTTCTTCCAATTTAATCTTCATTTTTAAAATACTTTTTTGTTTTCCTTCTAATTCTGTAGAGTTCTGTCACCTTTTTCTGAGTTTTAAAAATATGACTTATGTTGGTTCTTGTCTTATACCTTGCTCCTAATGTCTCTTAGCTTATCTGAAATGTTTATTTTTTATAAAAGTTTACTTTGTAATAATTTCAAACTCATAGGTGATGTGCTAGTATAAAGAACTCCTTTTTATTCTTTAGCCAGGTTCCCACTTGTTAGCATTTTTTTACTAGCAATTCACTGTTACAAATCATACTTGTTCTTTATGCCCCTTATCCAATCTTTCCACTTCCCCCTCTAATAAACATAGATTTGTTCTCTCCCTCTGAAGGATTACCTGTTTCTCTGTTCGTTTGTTGCCTGGATGATCTGTCCAGTACTGAGACAGGTGTGATCAAGTCATCCCATAATCATAAAGCAGATTTTTCTATCACTCTGGAGTGTACTTTGTGGACTCTTTTTTTTTTGGTTTCCGCCGGTGCCTCTCCTTGTGTCAGTGCAGTTGAGAGTCTGGCGTGCCATCTGCACGGTGGCTATGACTGCTGCTATAGAGACTAGCTGCTTTTGAGGCAGCTGAGGCAGCTGTGGTGGGCTGCCCTTGTGGAGATGGTGTTTCTGGTGTGCTCTTCACCTGGCTGCTGCTGGGCTCAGTTTCCCCTGGCTCCTCCTCAGGGCCCCGGTTTGTTAGCATTTTAAAGACTTTAACAACTCCACTTGCTAACACCTTGTTTATTCTTCTTTCTGTTCAGAAAGATTATTTCTTTTTCTGAGTCCTTCAGAGGAGGTTTCAGAGGGATGCCCTTTGCTCCGTATCTTAGTGTGCATTTCCTGAGAATGGGACACTCTCATTTGTAACTGCAGTATGATGATCAAATTGGAAGATTAACATTGACACTATACTGACAGACCTCATTAAAATTGTTCCACCTGTCGTCGTTGTAGCCAAAAGTGTGACAGAATAAAACATTCTGTCTGAGAACGGTCTGCTGTCATCTGTCCTTAATCTCAGGACTGTCATCTGGGACAGTGTCTGAGATTTGCCTTTTGTGGCCTCGACATTTTTGAAGAGAAAGGCTAGTTATTTTTTTTTGACTGCCCTGCAAGCCAAAAACCAACATCTGGGCTCTAGTTAGTGCCGTTATTTCTTAGACTTTTTTCAGTCCGCATTCCTTCGCATCTGCTTTTGAGACTGGCCTGTGTGCTTGGTCTGCTGGTGCGCCTGGGGTCCCCGAGGAGCTGCCCGTCCTGTCTCTGCAGTCTACTTTCTCTGTTTTCAGGCTGGACAACTTCATAAATCTGTCCTTGGGGTTATGTGATTTCCTCTGTCACTGCCGTTCTACTATTGAGCCCATCCACTGAGTTTTTGATTTTGGCTGTTGTGTTTTTAGTTCTGAATTTCCACTTGGTTCTTCTTTACGTATTCTATAAACCTGAGGTTTTTCTTTAAAACCCTTCTCAGATGATTCCACCATCTGTATCATCTTCGTGTTGGCATCTGTTGATTGTCATTTCTCTTTCAAAATCAGCTCTTCCTGTGATTTCTATATGTTTGTTTTTATGACAGGTAATTTGGGTTGCATTTGGAGTACTTTGTTATGCGACTCTGATTCCTTTTTTTTAAAAAGATGACCAGTAAGGGGATCTTAACCCTTGACTTGGTGTTGTCAGCACCAGGCACTCCCCAAGTGAGCTAACCGGCCATCCCTATATGGGATCTGAACCCGTGGCCTTGGTGTTATCAGCACCACACTCTCCTGAGTGAGCCACAGGCCAGACCCCGACTATGATTCCTTTTTAAAACTGTTTTAGCAGGTGGTCTGCCTGTGTAGATTCAGATGCACACCCTGGCCCTCTCTGGTGGGCTGTGGTTTGAATGTCATCTTGGTCTTCAGAGCCATTGTGGAGCTGCTCTTCCTGGCTGTAGTAGATTGAATTATGTTCCCCAAAACTCACTGAAGCTTGAATTGTGTCCCCCAAGTTTTATGTTCTAGAAACTTGGCCCCCACTGTGACTGTTAGGAGGGTGGGAAATCCTGTTATGGTGATTGAAGGGTGGAGCCTCGAAGAGGTGATTGGATTGTGGGACCATGCAGTAGTGAATGGATTGAAAATCGTGGTCAAGGGTGTGGTTCTGAGGGCTTTAAAAGAAGAGAGAGGAGAGTCTGTCTCTTTCTCTGCTCCACTATTTTGCAATGTTATACCCTGCCATCACTGTTACTACCACCAGGACCCTTGTTAGATGTATTCCATGGACCATGAACCTCCTAGCCTCCAAACTGTAAACAAACAAATTTTGTATCTTTATAAATCACCTAGTTCTGTGTATTTTGTTATAAGCAACAGAAATGGACTAATACAGTGGCCCACCTGTGTGCTGCCCAGAGACCAGTCTGCTGTCCAGGCAGTATCCCCACTGGGCACCTCAGGGGGAGACGGAGGGGCCCAGGACTTTATACAGATAAAGAGTCCCTTGCTCCACCCTCCCCCAGGCCCCCATGCAACTGTCCAGTTGGGAGTGGGTGGCTGCCTCTCTCCTGACTTTGGCTGAGTGCAAGGTGGGGGTGACCGGCCAGGCTCCCTCCTGCCATCTCTGCAGTTGCTGTTCATTGGGCAGGAGGACACCGCCCTTTGCTGATGTTTGCTCAATGTCGGTGGGATGGTCAGTGCCTGATGGGGCAGGGGTGGCCTGCACGTTCTTCATGGTGTTCACCTGGAGTAGGGTGGATGTGATAAGAGCTCTGTCCAGCAGGGCCGTCCTCTTCCTGGTCTTTCAGCTAGAGAGAATGGGCTTTTCGTGGGGCTGTTTTTGGTTTGTGCGTCTTAGTGTTTCTAGGTTGCGAGGACCCCTCCATAGCACAGAGGCCAGGTTATATAGTGTGCAGAAAACAACACCCAACACCCACCCAGGGCCACCTTCTCTCCATCATTCAGCATCTTCTTTCAGTTGCTTTATGGGCAGGTTTTTTGTTGTAGTAATTAGTGGGAGAAATACAGTGGGATGTGCTTCCTCCATCTTGTTGGGGACTGGAATTCCAGTTTTTATCCCCATCCTGTTCTTTTCCTTACACTTTATTTATTCAAGAACCCAGGCCATTTAACCCGAGGAGTCTGAATCTTGTTGGTGTGTGCCCGTGGTGTCGTCCAGCACATTCTCTGAGTCTCCTGCCTGGCTGAGCTGGACTCAGGCTCGGTCAGACCCTCCTTGGGGCTCAGCGTGTGGCTTTCATCCCTTCTCATGGTCATGTCATTGCTGTTCAGTGCCTAGGTCCATTTACTGTCAGAGGATTGCAAGATGGCGATGTGCTAGCTCTATTGTTCAATTCGTCAGCAGGAGTAATGTTATAAAGACACACTTCCCCTCCTCAGCTATGTGGTGACACCACTCATGTAGGAAAAGCAGGATAAATGCTCGATTTTTTTCTCCCTTTATGTTCTCAGTTTTCAAATTTGGCCATGTGAATCTGTTTCCAGCTTTCTTGTCAACTTCAGGAGGGGAACAGTTTTAAAAATATCATCAGTGAATACCTGTATTTAAGTATGTTTGCTTGGTCTCAATACGTTGTCAGTCTCATTGTCCTGTCTTCAGGTGCTTTCATGCTGGCTCCGCATTCTCCTGACATAGCCCCAGTAGTTGTGGGTGGCTCCTTGCCTCTGGGTGGCAGGACGGTCCACACTCACGAGCACACTGTTTCTGTGCCTCCTCAGTGGACAGAGCTAGGAAGTGCGTTCATGTGCATGGACCTGTTTGTGTGTGTATTTCTGCAGAGAGAACACCTCTTTAGCTCATGCTGCTGTTTCTAGTTCAAGTTTGGGCTGCAGGATCTCACGTGGCCTCTTCTCACATCTGTTCTGCACACTGGGAATCCTGGTGCTCAGGCACAGCTGGTGGAATTAGGATGGCCCACAGCTGTGCATCTGCTGCTTTTTTCTCATCCAGGGCTGAACATAGAGCCAGAAGACCTTGTGAAGCTGAAGAGTAAGTGCTGTCCTTCCTCCTCCTCATGGCAGGGCGGGGCCTGCCCTGACATCCCCTTGCCCTGCAGTGATCCTGCTTCACCTGGAGGAGGCCATTGATGCTGTCGAGCTGCCCAGAGAGGACAGTGGCATCACCAAGCCAGGGAGGTGAGGGACAGGGAGTTGACCCCTTGACCCCAGGCTCCGCCTGAGCTAGAGACAGAGTCTTCACACATCAGTGAGAGCTGTTTTCAATTTTCAAGACTCAGGAGGGCTGCCAGCCTTTTATTTGGTCCTTGAGAACATTGGGAGCAACTGCGCACACTACCACACATGGAGCTGCTGAAGCACTCTCTGGAGGCTCCCCTCCAGGCCTTTCCTTTACCCTGGCCCAGCCTGTTTGCAGCAAAGGTCCTGTTAGAGCAGGACCTTCTTGTTACGGGTCAGTGTGGTCACCCAACCACCCTGGGGCTCCAGGGACCAGCATGTTCTGAACATTCCGCAGGCCTCCAGTCTTTGCAGCCACTGGGGCAGCAGCACTTGTTGTCCGTCTTATAGGCAGATGTGGGGCTGTGGCTGGAGCTGTGTAGTAGCTGTGCTCGGTGCACATCCCATGGCCATGCCGGGACACAGGCTCAGGTCTGGCGAGCGCAGAGCATGTTTCGGGGGCCCAGGCTTCCTGCCTGCTCCCCGAGCCTGTCTGCTCCTCTGAGCTCTGACCTTTGCAGGGCTCTCAGGGGTTTCCAAATGGAGTCGAGCTCCTCAGCCTATGCCTGCACCATACCCCAAACCCCACCCACAGCCCCCATAGGGCCCACCATAGCTTCTGCCGCCCACCCCATCTCTTTCCAGTGCTTTTGGGGACCCTGCCCAGAGCTACAGCCTCCAGGAAGCCCCTGACGCTCACCTCCGGACCCTGGCCCTCCCCTCTGGCCTGTGGCCCCTCACCCTGCTGCTCCCATTTCCTTGGGATGTGGCACTCATGCCAGACCTTTCTCTTCTCCCCCCGGGCGGCACCTGAGGGCAGAGGCTCCTCCCTCCAGGTTCAGCCTCCCCTGGAGGGTTGAGTTTGTTTCTGAGTGAAGGAGACTTAAAGCCGTTCGCCTTAGCTTCCCAGAGCCGCAGCCTAGTCCCCTGCCAGGCTCAAGCTTCTTTCCCCTCCTTTGCAGCTACATCTTCGAGCTATTTGCCAAAGCCCAGATAACATTCCAGACTAAGGGCTGCCTGCTGGACTCGCTGGACCAGATCATCCAGCACCTTGCGGGACGTGAGTCTCCCAGCCCGCCGTGTGGGGAGGATCCGGCCAGTGGTCTCTGATGCAGACACAGCAGGACCAGGCGCTGGCCTCCAGTTGAGGGTCTGCTCCATGTCCACCGTCAGCTGTCAGCAGGAGTGTGACCCACAGAGCCTCCCCTTTCTGGCTGGGACATTAAGGCATCAGTGCTGTTTGTCCTACCGTTGTGCTCTTCTGTGGAGCATGTTTTGGCCTTGCTGTCAGCAGCTTCTCACGTAGCTCTGTCATTAGTCCCTTTAGGGAGGGCCACAAGTGGCCCATGTGGGTTCAGTTCAGTGAGCTGTGGGCCCTGCCAGCATCTCCCTCACCCCACCTGAGCCTTGCTTCCTCACAGGGTGTTCCCATGTGGTGGTGTCCCCACAGCTGCTCTGCAGAACCTGCTTCTGCTGAGGAAGGTCTCAGGGAATGTGAGGTGCAGGACCCAGCAGGGTCTTTGCTGTGCTCCTGGATGCTGGGGAAGGGTGCTGCCACACTTACTTGACCACAGAGCCTATCTTTGAGCTCCACTGACCCCTTGGAGACTCCGTCCCCATTTGGCTTCTCCCCAGCAGGCTGGGAAGAGCAGGCCAGCTGCCCTCCCGTAGCACATCCCGCACCCAATGCTGGGGGCCTCCCTGCTGCTGTGCGGGTGTCAGCCCCTGCTGCCCCTACAGGTGCTGGAGTGTTCACCAACACAGCTGGATTGCAGAAGCTCGCAGACATCATCCAGGTAGGCCAGCCTGGGGCTCTGCTCATCCCTTTACCTGATGGAAGCTGGGCAGGTGGCTCCATTTCCTGCTGTACTTCTTACTGATTCTAGACTCAGGGACAGGACAACAGCCCCTACACCATGTGTCCGATTAGCAAACCCTTAGGGCTGTTTCCTCTCACCCTAGATACACACTACTGGCCTATCAGGGAGGAGTGGCCAGTCATGCCCAGAGGGCCGGGTGGGTACCCTACTCTTCAAAGGCAGGCCCAGCAGCTCCTGCTGCCTCTCAGAGTAGTAGTCTGGGGACAGCTGCTCAGGGGAAAGACAGATGGGAGCCCTGTTCTGTGAGCCTACCACAGAGAGATGACACAGACTCTCCCCCTCCCCAGCCACGTTCTGCCCAGCAGCACCCCCCGTGACGTTCCGCTCTCGTCCTTAGGCCCAGCTGAGCTGAGCTGAGCTGAGCTGTGGATGAGCCGGGGCCTGTTTTTCCTGGTGGGAGAGCTGCCTGGCGGGGCAGTTGGGACCAGCACGCTTTTTCAGGTGTTCTGGGCAAGGTCTTGCTCTCTAGAGTCTGCTAGTTCTTTCAGAAGCAGACCCTCAGGAGCCCTGATTGTGGGGCTTTGGTTCTTGGGGCATTGGAGGCCCTGGGGTGCTGTGCAAGGTCTTCTGCCACCCTGCACCTCCCAAGCCACTTGAGGTCACGGCAAGCACAAGAAGACTGCTCAGTGTCTGGTCCCTGGTCCTGGGCACTGCTCGTGCTTGGGGAGGCCAGCCATGTTCATGGTGCAGCTGCTGTGTCTGTGCTGCTGGGCTTAGAGCTGTGGCCCCAGGAGAACCAGCACTGAGCAGGGGCAGACCTGGAGTGTGGCAGGGAGGTGGGCAGGAGGGCGGCTGGACAGGGCTCAGGCCTGCCTCCCCCATGGCCAGCTCTGACAGGTGGTGTCACAGCCTCAGTTTCCTTCTCTGTGAAGGGGGGATTGGGCCAGAAAGATAGCACTGCCAACACTATGCTGGTGGGGCTGGGCTTTGTCCTCCCGGCACTTCTCCAAAGGCTCGGTGGGCATCTTGGGCACAACTGCTGGCCATCTGGGCAGCCCAGACCCCTCTGTCTGTGGCTCCTGGTTGCCCACAGCAAGGCTGCTATGCCATCCTCCTGGGGGTGTTTTTGGCCCCAAGAACAGGAGGCTCTGCTCCAGGAAGACCCGCCTTCCCTATGGTCTCCTGATCAGTCACTGCGGTTGAGCAGGCCAGTGTGTCAGGAGCAGCTGCAGGGAATCCACTCTTTCCCTTCCCTGGCAATCTGGCCAGCTCAGCCACGTCCCATAGCCAGGTGAGGCGAGCCCTGCAGCTCCCAGGCCTGGAGGGTGGGTACAAGCTAGGCCGGCACCCTCCCCCTGGAGTGCGGTTCTCTAGGCTCCCGTGGATGGGGAGGTTTGTCCCTCATCCACACTCTCCGGATCCCAAATATCACCCCTTAGTTTGGAATTTCCTTTGGCTGATGCTCTAAGGAGCTCCTGGCAGACGACTCGGCCCCCTGACCAGCCCTGGGGTACGCTTGGCCAGATTGGAGCTGGCGTGTTCCTTTGGCAGGAAGGTGTGGGACTGAGCAGTCACTCATCCCACAGCTGCTTCCTGAGTACTGCAGGCATCCGGTGCTCCTCTTGGAACATGGGCATGCTGGGCACGTGCGGCCTGTCCTCAGAGCTGGGAGACCACGGGCCACCCCCAAGTGGAATGGGCACAGATGGCCCCAGGATGAGGATTTGGCAATGTTGAGTTGAACTGAAGGTGACCCTGGAGGCACCGGGAGGGGTGGGGGCCTGAGATGAGGAGTGTAGGTACATTGATGGGGCCTTAGCACAGCGCCCGCTTGTGGCAGCGGAATCCAGTTCCTGTTATCCAGTCCCTGCAGGCCAGTACTTTGGTAAAATGCCAAGCCTCGTGTTTGGACAATGAAAACAGCTCTAGAAGTTTCTCCTGTGCTTACATCATGGACTGCACCATCTGAGGCACATACCTGCAACATAGACTATGCACACGCATACACAAATCCATGCATGTATCCACACATGTGTGCTTGCAGAAACAGGGTGTGTTGCAGGTATGTCACAGGTGTGTCGCAGGCATGCGATCGGGCATCCTTCCGTCAGGCATCTTCCAATCTGGGCCTCCTCCCATCGGGCAGCCTCAGCTGTGTGTCTGGTTCTCGAGTTTGCTTTCCCACCGGACAGTGCGTGGGGAAATCTCTAGATCCAGGTGGCATCTCTAAGTCTCTGGGTTCCTTTAACTGAAGTGTGTTTTGTAGTTTGGGCATTACCTAGCTTGCTTCTCTGTTTTCCCGTGGGTGAGTCATTTCTCACTGTTCCCAGTGGTGCCTCCTTGAGCCCGCGACAGTTGTCTCTCCACTGGAGCTGCTGTGCCTGTCACCAGGCTCTGATGTCAGCGCCTTTGGTGGCTAGGCTGTTCTGCTGAGTGGAATGCACACCCCCTGTTGCGAGTGTCTTGTGCATGTTCTCTGCTCCTGTGTGGTTCCTTGTCTGTGGACTGTCCATATGCCCATACTGGTGCACGAGGTGTCCTTTCCCTGTGGACTTGGAGGGCTTCTTCATCAACCCACACGCAGTTGTGCATGTTCTCTGCTCCTGTGTGGTTCCTTGTCTGTGGACTGTCCATATGCCCATAGTGGTGCACGAGGTGTCCTTTCCCTGTGGACTTGGAGGGCTTCTTCATCAACCCACACGCAGTGCCCATATCTCTACTCCTCCCTTACTCGTCTTTATCCACTTTTGTGATGGGCTCAGTGAGCAGAGGTTTCCTTGTATTGGGACACCTTACCGTACAGGCTCATGCCTCCTGGCCCAGATGACAGTTTGGTCTTGTGTGGCTCTCAGCCTGCTGTAGAGTCATGTAGCCTTGTGTCCAGGCCACTGACTTACCTGGAGGGGAAGGCAGAGGTTGACTTGTCTCCCACAACGAGCAGGTGCACGCATCCTGGCCGAGGTGGCCTTGGAGTGCTGATGCCATGCTGCAGTGGTCTCACTGCATGTTTTTGTTTGCTGTAGCTTTGTGGTAAGTCTTGATGTTGGCCAGAACAAATTCCTCCTCATTGTTCCTTTTAAACTTGATGTTTTCTCCACCAGGTGAGTTGTGGAGTTGGCTTGTTTGCTCCTTTAAGAATCCTGCTGTGATTTTGATTGGGATGTGCTGAATTTTCTAGATTAATTTTGGGGCCCAGGGTCACAGAGGGGAGGCCCTGGAGGCCTGCTGCACTCGCTGGGTCTCCCAGAGAGGAGGGGATGGGCAGACAAGCTCCTGCCCTTGGCGTGGGCTGTGTGAGGGGACATTGTGGGTCAGATGATCCAGATGATGCTCCTGAGTGTGACTCTGCCGAAGAGCAGGCAGCCTCCAGTGCTCTTGTGTGCTGGGCCAGGGTCTCTTGGTTTCCCTGGGCATACCCTGGGCCTGCTGTGCCTCAGGCTCCTGACATGGTATATGCCTTCTCTGTTTTCAGATCGTGTTCAGTGTGGACCCCGCTGGGGACGGCCCCAGTTCTGTGGCAGGGCTGGGGGTCTCTCAATCCTATAAGGTAGGGACACAGCAGGACCAGGGGTCTCACAGTCCTATGAGGTAGGGGCGTTAGGGAGCGGGGGTTTCACAGACCTATGAGGTGGGGGTGTGTGGGGGGGTGGAGGTCCCACGGTCCTATGAGATAGGGGCACAGGCTGGGGCTCTTACCGTCATGGGGGGGGGTTCCTTCAGGACATGTGTGGGGCAAGGGGACACCTGTCCACACTCACCCCTCCAGGTGCATATTCACCCTGACACCAGTCCCCGTAGGACGGCTCAGCGGTCAGATGTGTGGAGTGTCTCTGCAGCCAGAAAGCAAGGTACAGGGCCTGGAGGCTGAGACACACTCCCTGCCTGACCTCTCTATGGCACCTGGCACTCCCACGCTGCGGCCCAGCGGTGGGTCTCCTGTGCTGTGGGCCCGGCTGCCTCCTGTGTCCAGTCCTCTCCAGGGCTACCTCCTCACTCCCCTTTGAGAGTCAGAGTTACTCAAGCTGGAGAGACCTTGGAGAAGGCCTGATGGTCCTGTGACCTGCCCAGAGTCACCCGGTGGGTGGTGGCAGAGTCAGGCCCGCCAGGCCTCCCTGCCCCACTGGATACTCACTCACACCAATGTGGGTCAGTATGGACCTGCATGGCAAGGCACAGTTTTCATTCCCCTGTCAAACCAGTGCCTGGCTAGGCCTTCCAGACTCTGCCTTGCGCTGCTGGGAGACCACTCCCCAGGCCTCAGGGCTGCATCTGAAGGGCAGGCTGTCTGACTCTGTTGCCCGAAGACCCACAGTGCATGCAGGCCTCACCCCTGCCTCGTCCCCATGCCTCCTTGGTGTCATATGCATCTCGTGTCTGGAGTTGGGGCTGCTGGGCTATTGAGGGTGGTCTGTGAGTGCCCCTCAGCTTGGTGTCCCTGGGCTCGGTGATGGGCACTGCAGTTCTCGGTATGCAGCACCCACCCTCCCACCCCACCCCCGGTGCCCTGCACAGCATCCAGGTCTGTGCCTCTACTGCGTTTCCCTGCGAGGCCTTGTGTCTGGCTTCTGCCATGCCCTCTTGGTGAGTGCTTTGCCTCTAGCTGCTGTCTGATTCATGGCCCTATGGCAGGAGGCTGCCCAGCAGAAGCAGCCCCTGTGCAGCTTATGCAGATCAGGGAGAGGAGGGCAGGGGACATGGCCAGGGGCCCAGTGTGGCCTCTCCCGGCAGGAGACCAGTGCTGCCTCACCAGCATTTGTGCCTGAGGTGGCCAGAGCATTAAGGGGGAGCTCAGGTACTGAGGAGCTGAGATGTGGTAACCCCTTTCTTCCATCTGCCTCTGAAACCATGTGACTTCTCGAAAGTGGCTGCTCTCTGGGTTGAGTATTTATGAGAAACTAGTTCATGGAGGTGGACTCCCCCAACTCCACCCTTGGCAGCAGCGGGAGGTGGTCTCCCCAGCACGGGGCAGATTTGATCCCTGTGAGCGTGGAACAGCTTGGCTGCAGAGAATGGTTTTGCCTATTTGAGGAATAAGCCGTCATCCTTGCTGACCCTAGTCTTTACTTTAGAGTCACATTTAACGTCATGCTATTTGTGCTGTTTTAATTTCCGCAGCTTCTGGAGGCCACTGGGATTGAGTGGGAGGCAGGTGTGCCCCGGCCCCTCCCACGGCTGCCCTCAGCCAGCAGCCAGGCACTTCCAAGAACAAGGCTGCTTGGTCCTTGCTGACCTTTCTTTTTCCAGAGAGAGCGTCTGGGAGCTCACACTTCCTCTCGTAACCTGCACGTGGAATGTCAGGAGGTGGATGCTGCCTCCTTCCTGTGCGCTTTTGGCAGCGGGGCTTCGTGCCGAGCCACACGTCACATTTCCTCAGACGTTTGGGGCTGGGGCTGGTTTTGGCTGACCTCCCTTGAGGTGTCCCCAGTGTCCTCCCTGGGGGCCTGCCTCCTGTTACTGAGCCTCCGAGGGAGGCCCCAGCAGAGCTCAGCTCAGGGCAGGCCCCTTGTTCTGACACTGTGTGTGCGCCAGGCCACGCAGCTGTGGGTGGTTCATTCAGGTCCCCATGTCCACTCCTCATACCGTCTCCCCTGCCAGGGAAGGTGCTCAGCTACTGGTGCCTCAGCCCCGGCCACAGCATGCGCGAGCTGACCCGCCTAGGCGTCCGCACCCTCATCCTCACCAGCGGTACACTGGCCCCTGTGTCCTCCTTCGCCCTGGAGATGCAGATGTACGGGCTGCCCTGGCCAGAGGCTGGAGCGCTGGTGATGCCAGTGGGGTGGGGATGGGGGTGCTGGTCTGGGCACCAGGGGTCCCTGTGAGCCTTGTGTGGCCACTCACTGTCCACTCCTCTGCCCTCCCACAGCCCATTCCCAGTCTGCCTGGAGAACCCACATGTCATCGACAAGCACCAGATCTGGGTGGGGGTTGTCCCTAGAGGCCCCGACAGAGCTCAGCTGAGCTCTGCATTTGACAAGCGGTAAGGGTCCTGCTCTCTGGGCCTAGCCAGGCGAGGCAGCAGGGAGTGGGGTCTGAGCCCTGTGACTCTCACGGCAGCGGCCTCCCTGGCTCTGCAGGTTTTCCGAGGAGTGCTTGTCCTCCCTGGGGAAGGCTCTGGGTAAGTACCGCTGCACACAGAACCTGTGGCCCTCGGGAAGCCTTTGGGTGGGAGGCCCAGGATGGCCTCCCACCCAATTCTGCGGGTGGAACCAGTACGCCCAGCCCTTGTCCGAAAGCTGGCAGGGGCCTCTCTGGATGTCCAGCCACCACCTTGACCACGCCACTGCGCTTCCAGGCAACATCGCCCGCGTGGTGCCCCATGGGCTGCTGGTCTTCTTCCCTTCCTACCCTGTCATGGAGAAGAGCCTGGAGTTCTGGCGGGTTCGTCACCCGTGTGTCTTCCCGTGGGATGGGAGGGGAGCCCCCCAAAAGGCCAAGAGTCTGGGCTCGGTAGGCAGGCCAGGGCACAAAAGGCTGTGGACACAGACCCTGGCTTGCCCAAGACTGATGGGTGGAGTGACCTGCTGCCTCCTCCCACAGGCCCACGACCTGGCCAGGAGGCTGGAGGCACTGAAGCCGCTATTTGTGGAGCCCAGAGGCAAAGGCAACTTCTCAGAGGTGCGCTCGGCCAGGGCCCTGGGCCTGCTGGCCACCCTGCCTCTGCTGCCCCTCACGGCCTCCCCGAGGTTGGCTGCTGTCCCTGACTGGGGACTCTGGCTGGCTCCAGCTGCCTCTTCGGGGTCCCGTGCTTTCTTCCTGCCCTAGGTGTGTTGCCTCTTAGAAAGCAGCTGACACACACCATTTGGGTGGGTGACTCTAGCAGCCAGCCCTTGTATCTGAGGCGCTGGGGGTGACCCTGGCTCTGGGCTCCCTGTGCTTTCTGGGAAACACTGAGGAGTTGGGCCGAGGACATAGCCGAGGCTTGGGCTGACCAGCCTCTCCCTCCAGGTCATCGATGAATACTACAAGAGAGTGGTTTCCCCAGAGTCCAGCGGGGCCACCTTCCTGGCAGTGTGCCGGGGCAAGGTGAGCCTCTGCGTGTCATCCCCCCACCTGGCAGTCTTTCCCTCGTGGGAGCCCCCTCCATCAGGCCCCATGTCCAGCAGACACAGATTGGGAGGGAGCCACACTGCTGGCCCTTGTGGGCCTGGGACCTGCTTATGGACCAAGCACAGGCAGGATGGAGGAGGCCCTGAGCATGGGGAGTTGGTTGTGGGGTTCTGGTAGCTGTGGGCCCCAGGTGGCAGACCTGACCCAAGGATGGAGCTCCTCCCCCACAGCTGGGGTATGTGGCTATGAGGGTCAGGTCCCTGGGCTTGGGTGGAGGCAGGAAAGGCAGAAAGCCCACTGCCCCTGACAGCTCCCTGGCCTGCCCCCCAGGCCAGCGAGGGGCTGGACTTCTCAGACGCAAATGGCCGCGGTGTGGTTGTCACGGGCCTTCCATACCCACCCCGCATGGACCCCCGAGTTGTCCTTAAAATGCAATTCCTGGATGAGATGAAGGGCCAGAGCAGGGATGGAGGCCAGGTGAGACACCACAGGGTCAGGGCTGGGGGCCAGGTGAGATATGAGGGGGCTGGGGCAGGGCTGGGGACCAGGTGAGATACCACAGGGTCGGGGCTGGGGGCCAGGTGAGAGACCATGGGGGCGGGGGCTGGGCAGGGAGACCAGGTGACCAAGCCCCTGTCCCCCACAGTTCCTCTCTGGGCAGGAGTGGTACCGACAGCAGGCGTCCAGGGCTGTGAACCAGGCCATCGGGCGGGTGATCCGGCACCGCCACGACTACGGGGCTGTCTTCCTCTGTGACCACAGGTGCGTGGCATCAGGTGCAGGAGGCAGGGCTCCACATGGCCGCCCCCATATCTCCCACTGGACCCTTGGACCCTCCTTCCACATGTGGGGCCCCCTGTCACCCAGCAGCCTCTGGCCCCATGGGGTCACGGCGTGGGGCTCCTGCCCATGGACGCTGGTTCTTCACTTTGGTGAACTGGGGACACGGAGCTGATGGTCACACCCTCTCTCCAGGTTTGCCTACGCCGATGCCAGAGCCCAGCTGCCCTCCTGGGTGCGTCCCTACGTCAAGGTGTATGACAACTTCGGCCACGTCATCCGAGACGTGGCCCAGTTCTTCCGTGTTGCTCAGAAAACTGTGAGTTCTCAGTGCCCACCTGGCCGTGCCGTGACGCCCTGGCCAGGGAGGGGTGGGGGGCTCTCCCCTGAGGAGCCACTGAAACAGGCAGGGCCCCCCACCCTGTGATTCTGCAGATGCCTGTGCCAGCCCCCCGGGCAGCAGCCCTGAGTCTGGGTGAGGGAGAAGGTGCTGTTGGGGTGGCCACCTGTCCCACCCCCCTCCTCTCCGCCAGGAAAGCCAAGAGTCTGGACCTGCACATCCCCAGCTTGAAGCAGAAGCCCTTAGGTGCGTGTGTGCAGGGCAGAGCTTGCCTGGCACCATGGGTTGCCTCCCGGTGTCTGGGACCCCCCAGTGGACTCCGCTGCTGATACCATAACTTTGTTCCTGTAGGATCACCAGCTGCTAGGGACTCCGAGAGCAGCCTGTGCGTGGAGTATGAGCAGGAGCTGGTCCTCGCCCAGTGGAGGCCTGCAGGGTTACTGGCTGCCCTGGAGCGCAGTGAGCAGCGGGCTGCGGGGCCTGGGGATGAAGCCCGTCCAGGCGAGGAGGAGGTGCGGGGGCTTGGGATGGATACTTCAGGCACCTCCCCACTCACTCTGTAAATCCCCTCCTGGGCAGACGGGATCTCAGCACCTCCTGGCTGTGTGTGTGCACTTTGCCCTGCCTGGCGCTCTGCTGGTGCCCCCCACAATACTGGTTCTCTGGTGGGTCAGCTTGGCACAGTCCACTCGAGGTCTGGTTCCTGCTGCGCCTAAGACTGGTCATTCTCCAGACCCAGGCTGTAGGGGGAGCTCGAGTTCCTTCTCCCCTGGGGCCTGTGCCCAGAGCCCATAGTGTCCTGGGCCTGACCTGAAGCTTCCTCCCTGCTTCCCACCTTCCCTCCCACTCCTGCCCCACAGGCCCCCGGAGTGAGCCCCAGGTGCAGACAGCAGGCATCTTTTGTCTCCTTTCCTTTCCATCAGCCCCAGTTAGAAAACTGTTTTACCTGAACCCGCCCTTACATGCTACCGCCTGCAAGCCATGAGGGTATGTGGCTTGACTTAAGAAAGGGGCTGAGTCGCAGCACAGCCACCAGGGCTCAGGCATGACTCGCACTCCTGGGACCTCTGTCCATGCTGCAGTTAGGGCTCCTTGGGGCCCCCGAAGGTGTGGGTCAGGACGACGGCTATGTCCTCTGCAGGTACACAGTTGCTCCACACCGTCCTGCCAGAGTGAGAAGAGGCTGGTGGGTGAGCAGAGAGGAGGAAGGAAGAAGGTCAGGCTGGTGAGCTGCCTGGTGCGTGAGCCGTCCCACAGCCTGCTCTGGCTACCACAGACGCCCCAGGAACTGATGCCTCGGGCGGCCGTGATGTTGATGTGGTCCAAGGGGCCCCAGTTTGCAGCTCTGTCCGTAGGAGGCTTGAGAGCCCCTCTGCCTTCCCAGGTGGAATCTGGCCCTTGCCCATGGGCATATTTGGTTTGGGACCTGCATCCGCTCATACCAGGCAGAGTGTGGACACTGACCTGTCCCGTGTGAGGAGGAACAGTGTGTTCCCAGCCTCAGATAAAGGCAGCAGAGTCACAACCTGAGCCAGGAAGCCCCTTGCCTGCTGGAAAGTCCCAAGTGTGGTTGCCTTTGTCCACGTCCCTTGGCTTCTGGGAAGAACTGGGCAGTGCCCAGGGAGGACTGGTGCTGTCAGGAAATGGGCTGGCTGCCAAGGAGCCTGTGAGCACAAGGGTGGGGGTACCTGGACTACCCTTGTCTTGGTTTCCTTGTGCCCCTGCTGGTCTGGGCTGTGCAGGAGAGGGGGTGTGGCACGTTGAGAAGCCCCTCACTATGAGCCAATGTCCTCCGTGTGTCGGCTGCAGCTATACCTGCTGTGAGGCAGGGAGCTGGCAGGGAGCACACTGGCTCTGCTCCTTTGCTGCTCTCAGGACTGTGGTGAGCAGAGTGTGGCTGTCTTAAACCAAGGCCAGGCGCCGATCCCCTGCTGCCTCTCCTGATGGCCTTCACTGTGAGCTGTGACTCTAGACAGGCCTGGCCCAGCTGTGCCCTGGGACTGGGGCTTGCTTCTCCCACAGCTCCTCCCTGCTCCCCACCCAGCCAGCCAGTCTCACAGGCAGCATCCCCTCTGCGGCAACCCTGTCTCAGGGATCCCTGGCCACGCTGTGGCTGCCCTAGGGACCGGGAGGGATAGGACTGGCCCTGATGGGGCCTTGGCCATGTGCCCAGCAGGAGGAGCCAGCAGCCAGTGCACAGGAAGGCAGAGCCAAGCAGTTCATGGTGGCTGTGAAGCAGGCGCTGAGCCAGGCCAGCTTCAGCACCTTCACCCGGGCCCTGCAGGACTACAAGGGCTCTGATGACTTCACGGCCCTTGTGGCATGCCTGAGCCCCCTCTTTGCCGAGGACCCCAAGAAGCACAGCCTTCTCCGAGGTGCCCTGCACAGGCCACCCACCCAGGATAGCACCACAGCTGTGGGGTGGGGCTAGTAGGACAGCTGGGCAGGGCCCCCAGGGCTCAAGGTTGTTCCTACTCCCTAGAAAAGGTGCTTGGTGGGCAACCCATGGTCCCCAGAGCCCCAGCCCAGCAGCCATAGCGGGTAGAGCCCACAGGTCCAGACACCCCTCCCTGACAGGCTTCTACCAGTTTGTACGGCCCCACCACAAGCAGCAGTTTGAGGAAGTCTGCTTCCAGTTGACCGGCCAAGGCTGTGGTTACCAGCCTGAGCACAGCCTCCCCAACAGGCAGCGGGCAGAGCCAGGCCTGGACCCCTCCGGTAAGTGGGGCCCAGGCAGAACCCTCAAACTCAGACCCGGAGGGTAGGGTGGCACCTGGTGTCCTAGGGTGGTGGGGGTGGGCATCCCCAGGCCCCTGCTTGGCCTAGCCTCCCTGTTCCTGCGTGAGAGTTGATAGGGGTCTCCATAGGGTAGCACCACTGTGGGGAGAGCCCTGCCCCTGTTGTGCAAAGCCCCCTGGTCCCTCCACCCCACCAGCACACACAGTCCTGGGACCAGGCCTGCCAGGAGAGTCCTGCACCTGGCGGGTCAAGTGCACATGCCAGGGGCCTGCCCCTCTGTCTTTTTAATTGATGCAGTGGAGTCTGTCACTTCCAAAGGTGGGCATTCCTGCTCCTGTGCATGTTAATGAACAGACCACTGTAGGGATTACTCGAGTTCAGTATCCCTCTGGGTGACCTGACTTGTCAGGAAGACTCCCCCACTCCCTTTTGGGCTTGGTACCCAATGGGGTGTCCTTATGTCTGCAACTCCATGACTCAGCTCCTGAGCAGTGCTTCAGCCTGCCTCCACTATCCCAGCTCCCCCAGCTAAGGGATGAAGCCCTGCCCTGCCTCCCCCCACCCCAGGAGGACAGTCAGCTCTCTGATGAGCAGGGGTTGACCCTGCTATACCTTAGCTACCCCAGTGCCCCTACCCTGGTCTGAGAAGGGTTGTGATGCCCAGTCTCCCTCTACCAGACCTGCCTCCTCAGGATCGACTGTCTTCTGTTCCCATATTTTTTCAGGAAAGAAGGAGCCTGACCCCAAGCTGACCTTGCCCAAGGGCACAGCCAGGCAGTTGGACCTCAGAGAACACCTGAACCAGGGTGGGTCCCACCTGTCCACTAGGCCACCCCTTGCAGGTACCTGGCTCCTGAGCTGTGGGGCCTGCAGACCTGGGTGGAGTCCTCAGTCCTTGAAGAGTCTCATGTTTCACAGTTTGGCCTGAGAGGCTTCCAACAAGTGCCGCCAACAGAGCTGAGGACCATTGTGGGAAGGGGTCTCCTGGGGGAAGGGGAGGCAGAGGTGGGCAGGACTCTCTAGGCTCCTAGGCCCCCAATGCAGCCTCCAAGCCATGCTACCTCTGTACCAGGGGATCCCAGCAGCTGTCCACAAGTGGAGTCCGGAGCCTTTGGAGCAGGAAAGCAGAGCCAGCCTGCTGTGAGCGCCTACCTGGCGGACGCCCGCAGGGCCCTGGGGCCCAACGGCTGTGGCCAGCTTTTGGCTGCGCTGACAGCCTACAAACAGGACGACAATCTTGACAAGGTCCTGGCTGTGGTGGCTGCGCTGACCACTGCAAGGCCTGAAGACTTCCCCCTGCTGCAGAGCAAGTGGCCCTGGGGTGGAGGGCAGTGGGGTGGAGGGCAGGGCGGGGATTGAGCCAGGTGTGAGCGAACCTTCCTGCAGGGTTCAGGATGTTCGTGCGTCAGCACCACAAGCAGCGCTTTCTGCAGACCTGCACAGACCTGACAGGTCTGCCCGCCCTGGGCACCGAGCTGCTAGGATCCCGGGTGGAGAGCCCCACCAGGCCTCCCAAGCTCGCCTGTGGGGCTCCCCCACCAGGTAGGGGTCCCTGCCTGGGTGCTCCCACTACCCCTGCCCCGTCACCTCTGAGCCCCATGCAGTCCCAGGCATGGGGAGCAGAGAAGCACCAGGAGCCCCTAGGACTCACTCCTCTATCTCCAGGCCCATTACAATCACAGAGACCTGAGAAGACCCAGAGCAAGATCTTGTCCTTTCTTAGACAGCAGCCAGCCGGGGGCGTAGGGGCCAGCAGTGCTGCTGCAGGGCCCAGCTGGCCCCCTGGGTCTCCCCATGGGCATGCACAGTCTAAGTGGGGTGAGTCTTTCATGGTAGGGCTGCAAGGACTGTTGAGGGTGGGGGCACACCGAGCTGCAGTCTGGCAAGCTCATGTGGGCCCCTTGCAGCAGGCTTTGTGTGCCAGGGCTGTGGGGCGGAGGACACAGTGCCCTTCCAGTGCCCCTCCTGTGACTTCCACCGCTGCTGGGCCTGCTGGCGACGGCACCTCCAGGTTGGCGCCCAGCCCCCAACAGTCCTGCTTGGCGTTGGTGGCCAGCAGGCATGTGCAGCAGCCTGGGTTTCTCCACAGGCCTCTAGGACATGCCCAGCTTGCCATGCCACCTCCAGGAAGCAGAGCCTCAAGCAGGTCTTCTGGCCAGAGCCCCAGTGAGCATCTGTGGAGACACTCAAGACACTATGAGGTCTGCAAAGGCCGAGGTTGCCCCTGACATGGCTTGAACGCTTGCCTGTCCAGCCTGGTGTGGGTCAAGAGCCTACCCAGCAGGGAGGCCAGCTGGTGCCCAGGCCTCACATGGGCAGGGCCATGGTTTGTCCCTGAAGCTGTAGTGGCATCTGGGCCTGCCTGTGAGGAGCCGAAGCCACGTGGGGTCTGGGTTGGGTCTTCTATAAGGTGCTTCCCCAGAACTTCCCCTGGCTGCCCCAGGGGCATCTTGGCAGAGCCCTCAGCAAGGAAGGAGGGGCATGCCTGACCAGTGCACCTGCATTCAGTCTGGTGACGGGGTTCTAATAAAGCTGCTGGCAGTGTCAAGGATGGTGTCTGCATGACCTGGGCTGGTGGTGGGGTTGGAGGGTGCCTGGAGGGACAGGGCAGCCGCCAAGGCCCCCTTCCTGTCCCCATCTGGAAGTGGCCATGTCACTGGGGAGGGAGGAGTTCCTTGCAGGGGTGTGGTCAGGCTGGTCCTCCCCCTGCCCATGTAGGACGCTGCCTGGCAGCCAGGGTGGGGCTATGCAGGTCTCTTGCTCTCCACGCTCTGGTGAGGACCATGTAGGAACCAAAGGGGCGCATGCCTGCTGTGTCCTGGAGAGCAGAGAGGAGGTGCAACTGAGCTACACAACCTGCTGCTGCCGAGCACACACAGTGTCTGTTCAGAGCCGCAGGGGGTGGGGGAAGGTGGACCGAGTTACTGGCCCAATTTGAACCCTGAGCAAGGAGACCGCACCTACCCCAACCCAGTACCAGGCACCCCCAGCCAGAACATGCAGTGCCAGCCATGCCCACCGGGCACCTCCGCCCACAGTTCCAGCTCAGAGGGCAAACTGCCACAATCCTGGGCCTGGCTCTCAAGGTGCAGCTCTTTCCACAGATCCCTGTGCACCAGCTTCCCACTTGGCACTTACGGGCCAGATGGGCCAAGTGAGGGTAATAGGGAGGCAAGGTCAGCCTGCACCCATTCCCAGCCCACGGGCACATGAGACATGCCAGCTGGCCTCTGGGAAGGGCGTACAGATGCTTTGTGGAGGCTCCCCCAGGGGTGGCTGAGGGTCAGGATCCAAGCCAGGGTGGAGCCTCACCTGGTGAGCCCTGGGAAGGCGTCTTCAGCACACCCCTAACCCCTCCCAGCTGCCTGAGAGGAAGGAGATCCTACTTTCTTTGACACTGGGAAACTGAGGCCCAGAGTTTAGTTTTCAAGAGGTCACACAGAAGTGGCAAACCTTATGCCTGGGCCTCCCTTGCCCCTCCCAGCCCAGCTCCTCTGACACAGGCTGCTCCCACCCCAGGGCCTTTGTGCTGGTCCTCTGGCCTGAGCACCTTTTCTGGGCAGCCATCCAAGCCATGTCCCACCGCTGTGCTGCACTCCATGCAGCTCACATCTCTCCTATGTGTTCAGTGAACAGGATTCCTCTTCTGTTCCATGAGCTCCCCAGGGCCCAGAAAGCAGGGCATCTGGCTCCCACCAATGACTGTGGGAGCAATGACCCTAGCCCCACCTTGCCTTGACCCTCCTGTGGGATGAAGAGTGTGAGCACGCAACCCTCAACTTTGTCATCTTCCAGGATCTCTCCTTCAAGAGACTGCAGCAGGCCCTTGTGGGCTCCGTTGCCACTGAGGGAGGGCTGCATGGCCTTGCAACTGAAGCTGCAGTAGCAGTTCACAGAGCTCTGAGAGGCACGAGATGGGGTGTCACCTGCAGCTAGGACACCAAGGCCAAAGTGCAGAGTCTGCGCACACTTCCTTCCTGTGTGCTGAGCCCACATGCCCTGCCTCACCCCACTTATTCTGCAGCCCTCCCACCACCAGCATGGGCATCATCCCTAGCTACACCAAAGGAGCCTTTTTCTGTTTCTTACGAAGCTGTTTCATAAAACTGGTTGTGCCCCTGTCGCCTGTCTGCTGAGGGAGCAGGGACACCTCAGTGGGAAGCCTGGCCTGCTCCACCCAAGTACTCCCACCTGAGGGTCACTGGGGATGGTCAGTGGGTAGCAGGTGCGGCAGAACACTGGGCAGTGCTCCCAAAGGCCCCCTGCCTGCTGTGCAACAGGGTCAGAGATGCCCAAAGCTCATTCATGCCCCCCATCCCATTCTTTGTGGTTAGGATGGTGTGGAGGGAAAGTCAGGACCAGGGAGGGTCTCACTGTGCTTGCCCAGTAGTGGAGGCCCAGCTGGGACAGGGTAGCCTCAGCCTATCCCTGTCCCCCTCACTCTGCCCCGCTTTTGAGTTCTTCCCACTCCCAACTCACAGGGGATTTCCCTAGAGGAGACCAGCTGAAGACCTTCCCCAGGTCCTGGGGCATCCTGTGTTTTGTGAGAAGCATGGCTTTTCCCTTCTGGTGCAGCTCTGAAGCCTCTGGGCCCATCCACCACATCCTGGGGGGCTGGCTCAGCCACCGTCCCCTCCAGTGTAGCTGGAGGCCCTGGGAACTAACCTACAGGACATGCACAAGGGGCTCCCAGGCATGAGTAGGGCACACCTACAGCTGGACACAACCAGCCCCTCGCTCCCCAACTCATGTCCCTTCCCAGCAACTCCCAGGCCCTTGGGGATGGTCTGGTGTGATGTAACCCTTGGATGTGGAGCCACCAGGTCTCTGGGCTGTGACCAGGCCACTTCCCACATCCCCAGGAAGGCAGTGCCTGGACAAGCCCTGGCTCCAGACCTGCCTGGAGAGCTCCTGCCTCTCACCTGCCCACCAGCCGCTTGGGAGTCCAGGATGGCAGCTTTGTGCTGCAGCACTGCCTGCCCAGACTCAGCCTCAGACCACCTGGAGACCGGATGGACTGGAGCCACTCAGGTGGTCTTTATTTTTCCCACACTCACCCTAGCCACCACCTGACACAGGCGGCCCCCCACCCATGGCCACTACAGGCAGAGTACTTGGCGAGGACCTGGGTGCTGCCAGGTCCAGTGGGAGCAAAGGGAAGGGCCTCTGCTCCCTGGAAAGGGTGTTCTGGATGCCTTGTCCCCATACACCAAGGGCGTGGGGTTGGGGGGAGGGCTAGGGCACCTCTGGGGACCCCACCCCTCACCACCCAGCTGGGAATGCAGGCCCAGCAGCACGTCACTGACACGAGCCCCATGGGGACCCAGCCTGTCTTCCCCTACACCCCATGCCCAGGCCCTTCCAGTGGTGCCCAGGGCATGGCCTGAGCTGGCTCTGTCCCCATAACCACCCCCCAATCTGCCTGGGGGTGAGGGGTTAAAATAAAACACCCACCCTGGTACAACCTCCATGTCAGTTACCCCTCCCTTGGGGATTAAAACGAGGTGCTATTGGGCCAGTGTGTGCACGTGGGGGCATGGGTAGGGCTCCCTAGCCCTGTCCCAAGGCTGCATCAGAACCCAGGCCCCCCATCTTTGGGGACACAGGCCAGCTCTTCAAGGGGGGGAGACCACTAAGATCACAGGAGACAGAGGCCAGCCAAGGTCACACCAGCCTCTGTTGGCAAGCTGGACAGGGCAGCTCCAAGAGCTGAAGCTTCGACACTCTGGAAATCCCCATTTCCAGCCAGGTCCCCTTCAGGGCCTACTTTAAGACTGGCCCCCGGGGCAGACCTGGAGTTGGGCAGGTCCCTGTGCAGAGTGGCTGGCCCAGCTGTCCTGGCAGAAGCCTCTGGGTGCCAACACTTTTCCAGATACAGATAAAAGTTTGTCTTAGAGAAAACACAAAGCAAGTAAAAAACCAAAGGGCAAAGCAAACCCAGCCCCAGGCTTGGTGGCGCAGGAGCCAGCAGGGCGCACATTCCCCCAGCACCAGGGATGAGCCGTCCAGGGCAGCTGGGTGGCGCGCTTACGTGATGTCCCTCTGACGCGGTGGCCGGTGGACATTCCGCACAACACACTTCACCATCCACTCGATGCCCTCACGCACCCCTTTGCTGTGGAGACACAGGTGTGAGTGAGGCAGGGCCAGCCTGGGTCCCCAAGATCCCCACAGGGCGAGGGCCACTCACCCCGTGAGGGCGGAGCAGGCCTGGGTCAGGCAGTCTCGCCTGCCGATCTTGCAGGTGCAGTCACTGAATGCAGTCTTGATGTCAGGGATGGAGAGGCAAGTCTGAGGGAGGCAAGGCGGTGAGGAGCAGCCCCCACGCCCTGGCCCCAACCTGCCTGCTGACCCTTTGCCGGAGGAAATGGCTCGGGACAGAGCTCAACCAGGGATCCAGTGTCTCTCACACTGAGGTCACAGTGGTCATGACACTAAGCTCTGCCTGCCAGTCCACACACAGCTGGTGGTACCCAGGGATGACTTCAGACATCCACCCAAGGCCCCAACGAGGGTGCCACCCAGGAACCTGTCATCACAGGAAATGGGCCACGGACAGGGACCCCCGAGCTCCAAGTTGGGGAGCTGAGGGCCAAGGCCTGGGTTGTGGAGGACACACCTGGTGGCCTGTCGTGTGGCTGGTGTGAGGAAGGTGGGACACAGTGGAGACAGTGATGGGGGGGAGGGTCTGGAGTCATGTGGCTGCTCTGCTCACAGACCCCTGCCCAGCCCTCACAAAGCAGTCCTCCTCCTCCCCTTTCCCTCTGAGGGAAGACCCCTACCCTGTACCAGACGGCCCTCTGGTCAGTGGCTTCAGGACAGAAGGGCAAGGATCACAGAAAGGCTCGTAGGGAAACGAGGGGGTTAGCCCTGCAGGACAAGGGAACCAGAGCCTCCCCAGGTTAGACAGGCAGTGAAGATTTACACTAGCCCTCTGGACACCCCACAGCCACCATGGCCACAGCAGCTTCTGTGCTGTGCCCCCCAAGGGGGGTGGCGTCACCTTGGAAGGACGGCCCCCAGGTTCTGGGGGAGGGGGTTAGCACAGATACTGCCCCAGAGTGCAGCAGAGATAGGTCAGGGCCAGAGCCAACCTCCACAGGAGGCAACAGCTTCTCCAAGTGCAGCTTTCATTGCCCCCCCCACCCCAACTCCTGGGACAGGGCACGGCTGCCCCCAGAGGGAGAGAAGGCACCCACCCCACAGCCTCCAGCCCTCCCTCGGGGAGAATGGGTGAGGCGTGGCTGCTGCCCTCAAGGGGAGAGGAACCGCGTACGGAAGCTGGAGGTCCTGGGGCTGCCAGTGGGGCAGGTACTGGGCTTGGGGGGTCCAAGGCATGTGCACACCACATGCACCAGGGGACACACATCTGTGGGGACTCAGGGACTCTGGGGATGGGGCTTACCTCCACATCCTGCTTGTTGGCCAACACCAGGATGGGGACACCGTCCAGTGCCTCGCTTGTGACCACCTTCTCTGAGGAGGGTGGGAGAGGTGGGCCTGGCACCACATACCCTCCTCTGTGACCCACCCTGCTAAGGGCCCCACAAGCACAGGCACTTCTGACCAGTCACTGGGTGAGCTTCAGACACAAGCAAGGTCCAAATCAGACCCGACTATTCCCCCCAGCCCTGCCCCAATGCCCACACTGCCCACACCTCCTGGGCCTCACTCACCAAATGCTTGCTTGGACTCTGACAGCCTCTCCTCATCGGTGGAGTCGATGACGTAGATAACACCGTGGCACTCTGCATAGTACTAGAAGGAAGAGGCGGAGCTGGGGCTAGAGCCACCAACCACCCTGCCAAGGGCCAGCTTGGCCAGAACACTCATGTCCCAGCCACTGTGAGAGGCCCACAACAAGAAGGGGTGGGCAGATCTTGCTGACCCTGGCAGAAGGGGTCTGCCCCTTCAGGGCAATCTCCCCTACCCACTCCTGCTCCCAAGAACCAGCCTTCATCCCTTGGCCTGAGGGCAATCAGAGAGACAAAACAGAGGTTGGGGGATGGAGGGACCCAGACCACAGCCTGGTCCCCATGGGGGATGTGCTTGTAAGGCGCAGCTGCATGAACGGCGGGCTACTGACCAGCCACTGAGAGGCCATGGAGGGCAAGGCCAGCACCACCTACAAAGCAGGCCTGTCCCCATTAGGGTAGGGTGATCACTGGGGACAGGCGGGCACAAGAGGTACAGACCCACATGGCCATGGCACAAAACCCAGCCAAGGACTTGGTGAGTACATTTCTGTCAAAGGACACAGTTTGCATCCATGTCTGTCACTTCGCCTTGGGGCTATGCCAGCTCTCCTGCCTGGCACCAGGATGTTCTGCCACCTGGACAGGACGAGCCAGTGGTTGGTGTGAGGTGAGAAACATTCACCCCCACAGGTGTAAGACAACCAGGGAGGAACAGCCCACAAGCTTCACAAAGTCCTAGGGTATAAGGAACAGGCAGTTCCAGGAGCCCCCACCCAGTTCCAGACAAGCTACTGCATCTGCACTTCCTGCAAAGCAGAAGGAAGCCCAACGCCAGGCTTGCTCCTGGGCTCCACAGGCAGAGAGTCTCACACACACAACTCCTCTGGCCTAGAGACGGGTCTGGTGCATCGGCTGCATCTCCAGGAGGGGCTGGGAAGTGGGCTGGCCGAGACCCAGGGGTTGGCAGGAGTTGGGGATTCACAACAAGCTTAGTGAGAGAATCCCCACGTGGCCGCTGTGGCCCTGACTAGGCCCTGGCAGAGACAGGTGCTGGGCCATGGGACCAAGTGGCCACAGTTGCCCATCACACCTACCAGGCACAAGGTGGACAGCCCAGCAGTGGCCACAGTGAGACAGGAGCGGCTACAGAGGCTGTGTGAGCAGGACCAGGAGGCTCCAGACACCAATGGAGGGGTCTCACCTGTGGCCATGTGGGGGGTCATGCACAACCAGTAGAAAGAGGGGAAAGCCCAAGCGTGGCTCACAGTGCACGGGTGGGCCAGCCAGAGGTGGAGAGCAGCTGCAGTAGTCTCTCTCAGGCATGGCTTTGAGGGACAGAGGCCAGGGAAGGTCCTCCCTGGGCACAGCATCAGGTGGCCCGCCTGGTCCTGCTTGTGTGTGAAGTGGTGGCCTGAGGCTGGCACATGTACAGGCCTGGTCAGCAGCATGGGCACCAGGATGCCTGAGGTGGACATAAGCAGTGGACGTGGAGAGTGAGAGCCTTAGTTCCCATCTCAAGGCCCACCAGCACATGTGCTGGGGACAAAGTGACCTGTTGGCCCAACATGGTAACGCAGTGCTGGACGGTGGGAGAGCTCAGGCCTAACGGAGTGCTGGAGCTGCTGCCCAATGCCCACCCGACAGCAGCAACATGGCTGAGCCTGCCAGGGCACTGCCCCCCGGGAGAGCAGGGGGCCTGGGTGTGAGTGCATCTCCCCAGCAGCAACAGGAGCTCCCCAGAGGTGAGGTGCTATGATCCGACACATCGTCCCATTGGCCCAGGAGACTCACGTCACAGTTGAGGTACCCGTGGGCTACCTTCACGGCCATGTACCCCCTGGGGCAGCTCAGCCAGGGGTCCTAGGACTCTCCCAACTGGAGACCTTTCTGTTCTTCCGAGTGACCCACAGTGGTCTCTGCTGCCTCCAAACTCTGGGCTCAGCAGGACTGGGAGTCCTGGTCACCAAATGAGCGTACACCCAGCAAACCCGCTGAACCACAAACCACACTGCCTCAAGGAGCCCGCCAAGATGGCACCTGGGGAGGCTTGACCGCCAGGAGGAGGCTACAGCCTGGCAGGAGTGGCAGCGAAGCAGAGGGGTGGGCAAGGGTGTGGCAGCCCCAAGGCTGGCTGCAGGTGGGTGCAGCCACCAGCTTACCTCTCTCTTCCAGTTTCCCCTTAAGAGAGGCTCCAGGACTAGGAGAAGCACAGATGGGCTGTGGCCAACACAGGTCCTAGTGTGACCTTGCTGCCTAGTGACGGGAACTGCACCCAGTGGACAGCCTTGCAGTGGCTAACATGGGACCCACTTTGGCTGCAAAGAGCCACCTGCCCAGGGCAGCCCATGCTGATGGCCCACCAAGCAGCAGCGAGAAGCCCTTGCCAGCTTGGCCTGACATGGTACAGCTGTGACCAGCAATTCTCCACTGCTTCCCACTGGGCTGGCCACGGCCCCACTGACCTCACCACCCAAGCTTACCTCTTCCCCTTCCCTGTCTTGCATCCTCCCCCCTGCCTTCCTAGGGCTGATCCTCAATAAGCAGCCAGTACGCCAACCTCTGTCTCAGCATCTGCGCTTAAGACCTGGGCTGTGACAAGAATGCCATCATCTGCGTCACTCCCACATCCTCTGGTGTTTGGATAAGCACATCCTAACTTGGCTTATCCTCTGGCCTATCAGAGTGGCCTGGGGCAGACACTGCCCACCTGGCTTCAGGGCAGGAGGGGACAGTTTGGTGGGGCCCAGGAAAGGGCAAGTGGGGTCAAAACAGAAATCAGGATCTGGGCACTCAGTTCTAAGCACAAGCAGCAGCAAGCATCAGGACAGCCAAGACATCTGTCCCCAGCACTGGGCTGCACCAAACCCACTGTGCCAATCTGTGGGTGAGGGAGCTCCCAGGGGGAAGGGGTTGGGTCTGTCCTGCTCAGTGCTGCACCCAGTGCCTGCCACAGGCTGAGCTGGAGACGGGTGCCAGACTGGGGTGTGTGGGGGTTTGTGGGGCCTCAGAAATGCCCAAAGCTTATGTCGAAAGAGGAGGCATTTGCTGTCCCCATGATGGGGAAGAGGCCACCATGAGGAAGGAGTGCTAAGCTAGAACTGAGAGTGACCCATCAGAGGAGACACATGCCCTGAGCTTTCCCCACACCAGATCTTTGCCATTTTTGTCTGCGTCCTGTGGTAATCAGCAGTAAAACCTCTAAGCCAAAAGGAAACAAGTGTGTCCTCACTTTTGGGGGAGAGTCCCCCACTTTTTTTCTTATCTTGATCAAGAAACACAGAGTACCTTGACCTGTGTTTTTTCCTGCAGGCTTGAGCCCAAGCCAGGGCTTTGAACATTCCCAGGCACTCATAAAGACGTTCAGATTGTTCCCCCAAACACTAGAGAAAAAAAACAGTCCCAGCCCTGAGCCATGTTCCTTACTCCCTCCTATGAACTCCACACCCTGACCCCCTTGCTGCAGACACAGCTAGACAGAACAGCCCTTTCTCTCACGTCTAACACGCTGAGGCACTCTGTATGTAAGCTCCCCTGATAAATGCTTTCGACTGATCACCCTGGCTTTTAACACTTTGGAATCCTCGGACAGTTGGGAGCACTCCCTTGTGGGAATTCCTTGTCATTGCTTTTGGGGCGACTCCAGCTGCAGGCCTGGCTGGGATTAACCAGGGAGTGACTGGAAGCTGGGGCAGAATCAGGGAGAAAAACCTCAGGAACAAGGTGGGTAATGGAAATGGCACAGGGGGCAGGTGGTGCCAGCCAGGGAGCACACATGGCATCTCTTACCTTGTCCCACAAAGACTGCAGTTCTTCCTGCCCCCCTAAGTCCCAAAACATGAGACGAGCCTTTCCCACGTCCACAGTGCCGACTGGGGAGAGTAGAGAACAGGCAAGGATCGTGACACTGGTCCTTGACACACCAAGCCCCGCTCTCCCAGGGGATGGAACAAACCACGTGGTGCTACTCCAAAGGGGCTTGAGCAGAAGCCTGACACACAGGACTGTGAACAGTGCAGCAGCTTCTGGGGCACCGCTTACTGTTTAGACCCACGGTGGTGGTGATTTTGGTCAGGCTCATTCCCTTGTAGTTCTTGTTAAACCGGGTTTTCGACTGCTCCAGGAAGGTCTGGGGAGAGGGAGGGATGTGTGAGAAAGGGCGCAGTTTCCAGTGTGTTCCCCAAATATCCCTTCTTGGGCCTGTTCCTTAAAAAACCAAACAGAGCAATATCTTGCTCTTGGAAAAGCTGGTGGCGATGCCCTCCGCTCGCAGGAGGGGTCTGGATTCCGCCCGTGTGCTCAGTATGCAGCCGGCGATACACGACCAGAAGGGGACCAGAAGGGGACCGGCGGGGAGGGCGGGGTTCTGCGAGGGAACAGCACGCACCGTCTTCCCGGCATTGTCCAGGCCCAGGATCAGGATGCAATACTCGTCCTTCTGGAACATGTACTTGTACAGGCCCGACAGCAGCGTGTACATCCTGCCGGGCACCCGCGGGCCGTCACGGCGCAGACGCGAGCGCCCGCCCGCGCCCCGGCTCCCTGTCCCCTCCCCGTCGCTCTCTGGGGCTGGCCCCCGACACTCCGAGCCCCTACGCTGGTTTTGATTTCCATTTTACTTTATTATTATTATTATTATTATTATTATTTTATCAGCACCACTTTTTGGCTGCTTAGCTCACTCTTAGTGAGCCCTACATTTTCTTGAAGAGTAATGATGTTGAGCATCTTTTTGTGGGCTTATTGGCCATTTGTATGTCTTTGGAGAAATAGCCTATTCAAATTGTTTGCCCATTTTTTTTTTTCCCTTTTTGTCTTTTTTCGTGACCGGTAACAGGATCGCAACCCTCGGTGTCGCGCCCGCACCGCGCTCAACCAGTGAGCGGACCGGTCTCTATATGGGATCCGAACCCTCGGCGGGAGCGCCACCGCGCTCCCAAGTGCCGGACTCTACCGAGTGCGCCACCAGGCCGGCCCCGTTTGCCCATTTTTGATTTGGGTTGTTTGTTTTTCGTTGTTGAGTTGTAGGGGTTATTTATGTATTCTGGATGTTAATCCTTTATGAGATATATGATTTGCAAATATTTTCTCACATTCTTTGGGTTGTCTTTTCATTCTCTGTATGGTGTCCTTTGATACACAAATGTTTTTAGTTTTGATGAAGTCCAACTTACCTATCGTTTCTTTTATCTGTGTTTTTGTTGTCAAATATGAGAAACCATTGCCTCATCCAAAGTTATGAAGATTTTCACCTGTTTTCTTCTACGAGGTCTCTATAGTTTTAGCTGTTAAATTTAACTCTTTGATCCATTTGAATTAATTTGTGTAATGATGTTAGGCAAGGGTCCAACTTCATTTTTCGCAGATGGATTTCTAGTTTTACGATCCCTTTCCCCAATGAATCATCTTGTCTCTGTTGTTGAAAATTAATTGACCATAAATGTGAGGGTTTATTTCTGAGTTTTCTGTTCTGTGCCATTGGTCTGTGTGTCTGTCTTGCGGGACCAAGGTGAACGCCCCCTACTACAGCTCGTGGGGCACGCTCGAGTACCACAACGCCATGGTGGTGGGCGCCGCCGAGGCGCAGGACGGGTCGGCGGGCGTCCGCGTGCTCTACCTGTACCCCACGCACAGGTCCCTGAAGCCCTGCCCGTTCTTCCTCGAGGGCAGGTGCCGCTTCAAGGAGAGCTGCAGGTAAGGCCGGGCTCGCTGCGGTGCTACTCGGGGTTTCTTGGGTGACTCAGCAAGTACGGAAAGACTTCTGCGGAAAAGACGCACCAAAGTGCAGCTTTTAAAATTCGCTTTTTTTTTTTTTTGCGGAAACTTGCGGACCTATTGAGGCCTGTCATCCGGCTTCGTCATTTACCAACACTCTGCCGAACTTATTCATCTCTCCTCATCCTACTTTCCCTCCCCCACTATCTTAAAGTAAATTCCAGAAATTACTGATGTTTTCCACTTATAAATACTTCAGGATGCTTCTCTAATCTAACTAATGCGGATGTTATTTAAAAAGTAACCTGCGTGTCATGACAGTCCATTGGTATTGGTGGGGGGATTGGTTCCCGGACCCCCGCAGATACCAAAATCTGCAGTGGCTCGCGTCCCTTACATATGTCTAACAAGTTCATTCATATTCAGATGTCCACAACTGCTGCCATGATGTCTTTTTTTCCTTAAGCGCATAACTTTATTTTTGCTCCTTTTGTCTCTGGTTTATTTCACTTCACATAATGTTTTAAGGGTTCATCTGTGTTTCAGCATGTATCATAATTTTGTTACTGTTTATGGCTGAGTAATATTACATTGTACGGCTATGCGTACATTGGGTTATCTGTTCATCTGGTGATGGACACTTGGATTGTTTCCACCTTTTGGCTGCTGTGAGTAATTCCGCCCTGAACATTGGCTGAGTCCTTGTTTTCAGTTCTTTTGGGTATATACCTAGGAGTAGAATTGCTAGGTCGCAGTTGCCAAACTGTTTTCCACAAGCGGCTGCACTGTTTTACATTGCCACCAGCAATGCGCAAGGGTTCCAATTTATCCACATCCTCACCAACACTTGTTATTTTCCATTTTTTTGATAATAGTCATCCCAATGAGTCTGTACTGTTAATTTCATTGTGGTTTTGATTTCCATTTTACTTTATTATTATTATTATTATTATTATTATTATTATTATTTTATCAGCACCACTTTTTGGCTGCTTAGCTCACTCTTAGTGAGCCCTACATTTTCTTGAAGAGTAATGATGTTGAGCATCTTTTTGTGGGCTTATTGGCCATTTGTATGTCTTTGGAGAAATAGCCTATTCAAATTGTTTGCCCATTTTTTTTTTTCCCTTTTTGTCTTTTTTCGTGACCGGTAACAGGATCGCAACCCTCGGTGTCGCGCCCGCACCGCGCTCAACCAGTGAGCGGACCGGTCTCTATATGGGATCCGAACCCTCGGCGGGAGCGCCACCGCGCTCCCAAGTGCCGGACTCTACCGAGTGCGCCACCAGGCCGGCCCCGTTTGCCCATTTTTGATTTGGGTTGTTTGTTTTTCGTTGTTGAGTTGTAGGGGTTATTTATGTATTCTGGATGTTAATCCTTTATGAGATATATGATTTGCAAATATTTTCTCACATTCTTTGGGTTGTCTTTTCATTCTCTGTATGGTGTCCTTTGATACACAAATGTTTTTAGTTTTGATGAAGTCCAACTTACCTATCGTTTCTTTTATCTGTGTTTTTGTTGTCAAATATGAGAAACCATTGCCTCATCCAAAGTTATGAAGATTTTCACCTGTTTTCTTCTACGAGGTCTCTATAGTTTTAGCTGTTAAATTTAACTCTTTGATCTATTTGAATTAATTTGTGTAATGATGTTAGGCAAGGGTCCAACTTCATTTTTCGCAGATGGATTTCTAGTTTTACGATCCCTTTCCCCAATGAATCATCTTGTCTCTGTTGTTGAAAATTAATTGACCATAAATGTGAGGGTTTATTTCTGAGTTTTCTGTTCTGTGCCATTGGTCTGTGTGTCTGTCTTTCTGCCAGTACCACAATGGCTGATTTTTTGTTTTTGTGCTGGCTGTCTAGTACAGCATCCCACTGTTTTCATTTCTGTAGCTTTGTAGTAAGTTTTGAAATCAGGAAGTAGTAGTTTTCCAACATTTCCTCCTCTTTTAAGATTGTTTTGGGTTTCAGGGTCCCTTGCAATTCCATGTGAATTTTAGGATCAGCTTGTCCATTTCTTCATAGAAGGCAGTTGGAATTATGATAGGGATTACACAGAATGTGTAGATCAGTTTGGGGCACACTGCCATCTCAACAATATTAAGTCTTCTATTTCATGAATGCAAATGTCTTTCCATTTATTTAGGTCTTCTTTGATTTCAACAATGGTTTGTAGTGTATAAGTCTTGTACATTCTTGGTTAAATTTATTCCAAAGTATTTTATACTTTTTGATGTTATTGTAAATGGAATTGTTTTTCTTAACTACATTTTCAGATTGATGGGTGCTAGTGTATGTTGTATGCTGATCTTATATCCTTTGTAGAATTTGTTTATTACCTATAGCAGGATTTTTTGTGGATTATTTAGGATTTTTTATATATATGATCATGTCATCTGCGAGAAGAGATAATTTTAGTTCTTTGTTTCTAATTTAGATGGCTTTTATTTCTTTTTCTTGCTTACCCTCACTAAAACTTCTAGTACAATGTTGAATAAAAGTGGCAAGAGCCGATATCTTATCTTGTTCCTGATCTGAGGGGGAACGCTTTCAGTCTTTCGACCATTGAGTATGATGTTACCTGTGGGTTTTTTGTAGATGCTCTTTATCAAGTTGAGGAGGTTCCTGTCTACTCCTAGTTTGTTGAGTATTTTTATCATGAAAGGGTGTTGGATTTTTTCAAATGCTTTTTTGCATTGGTTGAGATGATCATGTGTGTTTTTCTCTTCTCTCTGTTAATAGGGTGTATCACACTGATTGATTTTCCTATGTTGAACCACCCTTGCATTCCTGGTATAAATTACGTTTAGTCATGGTATATGCCTCAGTCCGTTTTCTGTTGCTGTAAGAGAGTACTTGAGACTGGGTGTTCTATAAAGAAAAGAGGTTTATTTGGCTCACAATTCTTGTGGCTGGAAAGTCAAAGATTGGGCAGCAGCATCTGGCAAGTACTTCAGCCTGCTTCAATAAGGGGAGCAGGTGTGTGCAAAGAGATCACATGGCAAGAGAGGAAGCAAGAGAGAGAAACCGAGGAGGCCAGACTCTTTTTAAAACAACCTGCTCTTGAGAGAACTAATCTATCCTGTGAGACCTAGAACTCACTCATACCTGTCAAGGGCATTAATCTATTCATGAGGGATCCACCTTCATGATCCAGACACCTCCCACAAGGCCTTATCTCCCAATACTGCCACATTGGGAATCAAATTTCTTTTTTTTTTTTGTCCTTTTTTGAGACCGGCCGCACCGCACTCAGCCAGTGAGCGCTGTGAACGCACCGGTCATCCCTATATAGGATCTGAACCCGCAGCGGGAGCGCTGCTGCGCTCCCAGTGCTGCACTCTCCCGAGTGCACCACGGGCTCGGCCCAGAATCAAATTTCAACAGGAGTTTTGGCGGGGACAAAATACATCCAAAGCATAGCAGTGTATGATCCTTATAATATGCTGCTGGATTTAGTTTGCTAGTATTTTGTTGAGAGTATTTGCATCTATAATCGTAAGGGATACTGGTCTGTAATTGTTTTGTTTTTCTTCCTTTGGATAGGTTTGTCTAACTTTGGTGTCAGGGTAATACTGGCTCGCAGAATGAGTTAGGAAGTGTTCTCTATTTTTTGGAAAGAATTTGAGAAGGATTGGTGTTAATTTTTCTTTAAAGTTTGATAGAATTCACCAGTGAAACCATCCGGTCCTGGACTTTTTTATTGTTGAAAGTTTTCTGATTACTGACTCAATTTCTTTATTTGTTTTAGGTCTTTTTAGATTTTCTGTTTCTTTTTGAGTCAGTTTTGGTAGTTTATTATCTAGGAATTTATCCATTCTGTGTAGGTCACCTAATTTGTTGGCATACTGTTGTTCATAGTATTCTCTTATAATCCTGCTTATTTCCATAGGGTCAGTAGTAATGTCTTCATTTTCTCTCCTGATTTTAGTAATTTCAGTCTTTTCTTTTTTCTTGGTCAGTCTAGCTAAAGGTTTGTCATTTTTGTTTTATCTTTTTTGTTATTGTTGATTCTCTATTGTTTTTTTATTCTCTGTTTCATTTCTTTCCAGTTTAACCTTTATTTCCTTCCTTATGCTAGCTTTGGGTTTAGTTTACTCTTTGTTTTCTAATTCCTAACTGTACAGTTAAGTTACTGACTTAAGAACTTTCTTTTTTTTAATGTAGGCATTATAGCTATAAATTTTCCTTCATAGCTGGCTGGTTAGCTCAGTTGGTTAGAGCATGGTGCTGACAACACCAAGGTCTGGGTTTGATCCCTGTACCAGCCAACAAAAAAGAAATAAAACTAAATTTTACAAAATAATAGATCTCCCTCCAAACACTGCTTTTACTGCATCCCATAAGTTTTGATGTTGTGTTTTCATTTTCATTGATCTCAAAGTATTTTCTAATCTCCGTCCTGATTGCTCTTTGACCCATTAGTTGTTTAAGATTGTGTTGCTTACTTTCTACATATTTGTAAATATTCCAGATTTCCTTTTATTATTGATTTCTAATTTCATTTCATTGTAGTTGGAAGTTTACTGGGACTTGTTTTTGTGGACCAACATATGATCTGTCCTGGAGAATGTTCCATGTGCACTTGAGAAGAGTGTATATTCTGATCTTGTTATGAGAACTTTTATAGATATCTAATTGGTTCATACTGTTGTTCAAATCCTCTATTTCCTTATTGATCTTTTATTTGGTTGGTCTATCCATTATTGAAAGTGTGGTACTGAAGTATCTGTTATCGTAGAACTGTCTATTTTATCCTTCAATTCTCTCAGTTTTTGCTTTATATATTTTTGGAGCTCTGTTTTAGGTGTAAGTTTATAATTGCTATATCTGCTTGATAGATTGACTCTTTGATCATTATATTATGTCCTTTTTGTCTTTTGTAACAGTTCTTAACTATTTTGTCTGATTTTAGTATAGCCATCCCAGATCTCTTTAGATCACTATGCATGGAATGTCTTTCCTTTTACTTTC